GGGGTGTGTGTTCGCCGCACTTTTGTTCACGACGTTAGTGTTTCGCGGCTATTCGGCCCACGGCTGCCATCATGCATGGCCAGAGAACAAAATACAAAAAAACTTGCACATCGGGGGTACTGTAACGGAAGCGGAACAATCGGCGTTAGAGCAAATGTCCTGAACCTGATGAACTCACACCATGTATAGTAAAACCTGTGAAGGCGACCACTCGGATAAGGCGACCACCTGTCCAAGGGGACCACCACCACCATGCAGGTGTCAGGACCAAAGGCTGTCAATTTCAGTCAAATGACCCTGGATAAGGAGACCACACGTACACGGCGACCACATTTCGAAGGTCGCCTTAGACACGTTTCACTGTACATATATCTACAAAACAAGCGCGAGCAAAACACACACATTACAGCGGCATACGTTCTGCCAAAGAATGGAAAAGAAGATGACACGATAACACAGGTTGCGCCATGGGTGAACTCTCATCTCGGCTCGAGATAGGCGTTGCACACTCTGTGTCATGCTCTCTTGGTTTGACGGAGTTGCAATGCATGTTGAGTGGATGAGATTAGAGAGGTTAATATGCACGGTTAGTTCTGGCGCGGCGCGAAAGTTCGGCTCGCGTTATTTGGCTCGCGCGTCGAAAAACAACGCGAGCAACCTGCAGCTCACGTCGAAATTTGGAGTTATGCGCCAAATTTGACGTGAAACTGCGCGTCACGTCGGAAATAACATGCATTTTAACCTCTCTATTCGCTGGCCAGAAATCCACTTCAAAAATGCTGTGTTGTGTAGACCAGGCTATCGGTGGTGGTCAATTCTTCACTCTTACTATTGAATGGTGCAATTCCAGCACAAGTTGCTATGGCTTCTAATGTAGCATCGCGATCAAAGCCCCTAGCGATGGCGTCTAAAGGTGTGTGTGTGTGTGTGTGTGTGTGTGTGTGTGTGTGTGTGCGCGCGTGTGTGTGTGTGTGCGCGTGTGTGTCTGTGTGTGTCTGTGTGTATTTGTGTGTCTGTGTGTGTCTGTGTATATTTGTGTGTGTCTGTGTGTATTTGTGTGTGTGTGTGTGTGCGTGCGTGCGTGCGTGTGTGTGTGTGTGTCTGTGTGTATTTGTCTGTGTGTGTGTGTGTGTGTGTGTGTGTGTGTGTGTGTGTGTGTGTGTGTGTGTGTGTGTGTGCATGTGTGTGCATGTGTGTGCATGTGTATGTGGGTGGATGTGCTCATGTGCATGTGTGCGCGGTGTTCTACAGCCCGGAGAATATTCCATCGGACTGTGGCAGAAGTGGAGGTGACCCTGCCGGAGCAATGGACATCAAGTTCACCGTCCAAGTGACCTGCTGCAACGACGAGGCTAGCTATGAGTGCACTCTCACTTGTGCAGACCAGGAACTCTCTCTCAATGTGATGGATTGTGATGGATTGTGATGGGTTGCTAGTGACGTCAGACAAGAACACCTTGCAATAAACGTGCACCGCGTCATGTTCCCTTGTACAGAGGCCAAGAACGCCAGCACGCCCCAACTCCAAGGCATCGCCGCACATGCCGGCCATGGATGACCAACGCGCGCCGAACCGCGGACGACAGCAAGCAGGCGAGTTGCTGCGTCCGGAACGGCACCTACGGGACACCAGAGGGCAAGGACACCAGCACGCCTCCAACTCCAAGGCATCGCACATGCCGTCCGTGGATGACCGATACACACCGCCACCGCGGATGACGGCAAGCGGGCGAGTTCCTGCGCCCGTAACTGCAACTACAGGACAAGGCCCGGTTGGAGATCACCATGGCAACGACACACTGTCAGCACTGTGCTTAAGAACGCAGCCGGCGACGGCCGTGCACCTATAGCTGTAGTGTGCACTATAAACAGTCAGTCGCGGCCGAAATAGTTCATTGCCACCGTATGCAGACCGATTTAGTCACATGGCGAGTGTCACTCAACTTCAGCCGTAGCCAGTCCAATCCAGCTGTAAGCAGTCCAATTCAGCCATCAGCTGTCCAATTCAGTCGTGGGCGGTTCAATTCAGCCATGGGCAGTCCGATTCAGCCGTAAGCAGTCCAAATCGGCCATGGGCAGTCCGATTCAGCCGTAAGCAGTCCGATTCAGCCGTAAGCAGTCCAAACCAGCCATGGGCAGTCCAATTCAGCCGTGAGCAGTCCAAACCAACCGTGGGCAGTCCGATTCAGCCGTAAGCAGTCCAAATCAACCGTGGGCAGTCTAATCCCACAGTGGGCCGCCCAATTCCGCCGTAAACAGTCCAATCAGCCGCAGACAACCCACTGCAAGGATGGCGTATTTGACAAACACTCCATTGCCCGAAAGGCCTCAGGCAGCACTCCTACCCAGCGGGTGTCCGGAGTTCCGGGCCGCGTGTCCGCATGCAATGCTGTGCCGGCTGACACTCAGACTACAAGCAGAATGGTGCACTGCGTAAAGGTATCCTTTACAAGAGGAGGAAAGGGCAGCAGTCGCCCAAGAGAGACTGCGACCGTTGTAC